GATTTTAGGCAGCAGGATGTAATTAAGGAGAAAAAGCCCATTTTTAAGCACTTCTTTATATTTTTATATAAAATATTAATATTCCTGCTGAACTTCAGCGTTATATTTTTAAGAATAATTTCTAGATATAACCTTAGCAGGCAGCCAATTGCAGGAGGGAAAGCTTTTGTCTCAATTATTGACTTTATTATTTTTTTTACTTGGAGTTGCTATTTAGAAAACTCTTTCTGTGGTGGTTTTTGACTCTTCAGTGCCTCTAACTTAGGAAAAAATGTTGAAACAATAAAACTCTTTTTGTTTTAGTGCTGCTGCAAAGAAGGAGGATGAGGATGCCCAACCAGTTAAAAAAACTTACACGTGGAACACAAAGGAAGAGGCCAAACAAGCATTTAAAGAACTGTTAAAAGAAAAGGTATTTGGGCCAGTTATTAATGTTTTATTGCACTACAACACCTGGTTTTATTTCCGTTTTATTTGCCAGGTTTTACTTGATTTTCTTGGGGAAGAACTCCTCACTCTTGAGGAAATGAAGGAAAAGAACATGGCAGTGAAATGTTCTTTTAGCTTAAAAATCAAATGTTCTTTTTTCTTTTCCCCATGGCTGATTTTAAGGAATTGTTCAGTGTTGGATGTTAATTCCAGGTCTGATTCATGCATAATTTCCTGTTTTCACAGCGAGTTCCATCCAATGCTTCCTGGGAGCAGGCCATGAAAATGATCATTAATGACCCCAGATACAGGTACTGAGTCCTTCTTTAATTCCACATTTAGGGAATTCCACAAATTTAGGGAATTTACTTCCAAAAAATCCAAAGTTCTGTTAGCAACAGATACTCCTGCACTTGTGCCATTGGCAGGGAATTGCCTTCCTTTCCTCCATAAGGAAATGCTTCCAACTGCTTCATTTTTATTGGGAAGGAGTGTGGAATTTTATCTTGATTTGGGGATTAAAATGTCCAGATTGATTTTATCTCAAATCTGAAGTATTCAAACCTGTTGCCTTTTGCTTTCTGGTTTTGATTTCCTTACTTAATTTTCTTG